AAGTGCTGTTAAAACTATGTAGTTGACCGAATTGCTGTTAAAACTATGTAGTTGACTGAAGTGCTGTTAAAACTATGTAGTTGACTGAAGTGCTGTTAAAACTATGTAGTTGACTGAAGTGCTGTTAAAACTATGTAGTTGACTGAAGTGCTGTTAAAACTATGTGGTTGACTGAAGTGCTGTTAAAACTATGTAGTTGACTGAAGTGCTGTTAAAACTATGTAGTTGACTGAAGTGCTGTTAAAACTATGTAGTTGACTGAAGTGCTGTTAAAACTATGTACCTGATTGAAGTGCTGTTAAAACTATGTAGTTGACTGAAGTGCTGTTAAAACTATGTAGTTGACTGAAGTGCTGTTAAAACTATGTAGTTGACCGAAGTGCTGTTAAAACTATGTAGTTGACTGAAGTGCTGTTAAAACTATGTAGTTGACCAAATTGCTGTTAAAACTATGTAGTTGACTGAAGTGCTGTTAAAACTATGTAGTTGACTGAACTTCTGTTAAAACTATGTACCTGATTGAAATGCGGTTAAAACTATGTAGTTGACTGAAGTGCTGTTAAAACTATGTAGTTGACTGAAGTGCTGTTAAAACTATGTACCTGATTAAAGTGCTGTTAAAACTATGTAGTAGACTGAAGTGCTGTTAAAACTATGTAGTTGACTGAAGTGCTGTTAAAACTACGTACCTGATTAAAGTGCTGTTAAAACTATGTACCTAATTGAAGTGCTGTTAAAACTATGTAGTTGACTGAAGTTCTGTTAAAACTATGTACCTGATTGAAGTGCGGTTAAAACTATGTAGTTGACTGAAGTGCTGTTAAAACTATGTAGTTGACTGAAGAGCTGTTAAAACTATGTACCTTATTGAAGTGCTGTTAAAACTATGTACCTGACTGATGCGCTGTTAAAACTATGTAGTTGACTGAAGTGCTGTTAAAACTATGTACCTGATTGAAGTGCTGTTAAAACTAAGTACCTGATTGAAGTGCTGTTAAAACTATGTAGTTGACTGAAGTGCTGTTAAAACTATGTAGTTGACTGAAGTGCTGTTAAAACTATGTAGTTGACCGAAGTGCTGTTAAAACTATGTAGTTGACTGAAGTGCTGTTAAAACTATGTAGTTGACTGAAGTGCTGTTAAAACTATGTAGTTGACTGAAGTGCTGTTAAAACTATGTAGTTGACTGAAGTGCTGTTAAAACTATGTAGTTGACTGAAGTGCTGTTAAAACTATGTAGTTGACTGAAGTGCTGTTAAAACTATGTAGTTGACTGAAGTGCTGTTAAAACTATGTAGTTGACTGAAGTGCTGTTAAAACTATGTAGTTGACTGAAGTGCTGTTAAAACTATGTAGTTGACTGAAGTGCTGTTAAAACTATGTAGTTGACTGAAGTGCTGTTAAAACTATGTAGTTGACTGAAGTGCTGTTAAAACTATGTAGTTGACTGAAGTGCTGTTAAAACTATGTAGTTGACTGAAGTGCTGTTAAAACTATGTAGTTGACTGAAGTGCTGTTAAAACTATGTAGTTGACTGAAGTGCTGTTAAAACTATGTAGTTGACTGAAGTGCTGTTAAAACTATGTAGTTGACTGAAGTGCTGTTAAAACTATGTAGTTGACTGAAGTGCTGTTAAAACTATGTAGTTGACTGAAGTGCTGTTAAAACTATGTAGTTGACTGAAGTGCTGTTAAAACTATGTAGTTGACTGAAGTGCTGTTAAAACTATGTAGTTGACTGAAGTGCTGTTAAAACTATGTAGTTGACTGAAGTGCTGTTAAAACTATGTAGTTGACTGAAGTGCTGTTAAAACTATGTAGTTGACTGAAGTGCTGTTAAAACTATGTAGTTGACTGAAGTGCTGTTAAAACTATGTAGTTGACTGAAGTGCTGTTAAAACTATGTAGTTGACTGAAGTGCTGTTAAAACTATGTAGTTGACTGAAGTGCTGTTAAAACTATGTACCTGATTAAAGTGCTGTTAAAACTATGTAGTTGACCGAATTGCTGTTAAAACTATGTAGTTGACTGAAGTGCTGTTAAAACTATGTAGTTGACTGAAGTGCTGTTAAAACTATGTACCTGATTAAAGTGCTGTTAAAACTATGTAGTTGACTGAAGTGCTGTTAAAACTATGTACCTGATTAAAGTGCTGTTAAAACTATGTAGTTGACCGAATTGCTGTTAAAACTATGTAGTTGACTGAAGTGCTGTTAAAACTATGTAGTTGACTGAAGTGCTGTTAAAACTATGTACCTGATTGAAGTGCTGTTAAAACTATATATTTGACCGAAGTGCTGTTAAAACTATGTAGTTGACTGAAGTGCTGTTAAAACTATGTAGTTGACTGAAGTGCTGTTAAAACTATGTAGTTGACTGAAGTGCTGTTAAAACTATGTACATGATTGAAGTTCTCTTAAAACTATGTACCTGATTGAAGTGCGGTTAAAACTATCTAGTTGACTGAAGTGCTGTTAAATCTATGTAGTTGACTGAAGTGCTGTTAAAACTATGTAGTTGACTGAAGTGCTGTTAAAACTATGTAGTTGACCGAATTGCTGTTAAAACTATGTAGTTGACTGAAGTGCTGCTAAAACTATGTAGTTGACTGAAGTGCTGTTAAAACTATATACCTGACTGAAGTGCTGTTAAAACTATGTAGTTGACTGAAGTGCTGATAAAACTATGTACCTGATTAAAGTGCTGTTAAAACCATGTAGTAGACTGAA